GTCTAAATGTGACAGAACCCATCCCTGGTGGATATGGTAGTAAATAATCTATCACTTCTTTTTTACGTACAGTTTTCCTTTCTCTAAGGTTGTACAAAAAACAGAGGTTCGATTATAACAATGCAAAGCATTTTAACAAAAAATTTGTTTACTTTATTTTTAAATTCTAATCGGATTTATCTGGACTATTAAAATGTGATTTAACATAAAAATCTGTTGACAGATTTATCAAAACCTAACAATACATTTATTTTTGTCCAAAAAATATTTTTAATCTTATAAAAACACTTTTTAATCCTCTTGCATATTTTCTCTTTTTCCGACACCTGTTATTTTACTATTTGTTATAAGCCACGTGGTCATAACATTGTTTTTAATCGTCTTTTTTTGAGATTTAAGGCAAAAATACCAAATCCCCTTGGTTTCTGTTTTTGAGAAAATTTCGATTAAACCTGACACGAAAATTTTAAATTATTGAATAAAATCTATTAAAATTCGACCACTATTCGAAGTTAATTTTATTTTTTCTCAGCTTAACACTCTCACCCGTCCTATCTCCCAAGATCCTATCCCTTTAAATGAGGGGTTTCCACATTCATTTCTTTACCTAATTTTAACACATTCCAATAGAAAGGCATACCTTTTGTATACTCTCGTCCCGTACTTTCACGGCGCTTTCCTATTGGAGAGTACCTTCTTTATTACGCCTGCCTTTTTATTAGAATATTTTTATGTAAAATAGAAATATTTTATTGTTGTTAATTAGGTATTTTACAAATTTTCGAGAAAAAAAAATACTTACCAATTATCAAAAATAATTCACTTAATAAATCATTTATTTTCTGTGTAGTCCAAGTTCGACAGCAAAATTTTTATTTTTTTATTTTTTTTAATTTTTTTCTTTGCAAAAATTTTTCGAAAAATAAAAATAAATTAGAAAAAAGGACAATAAAAATAAAAAAAATTTTTTTCTCTCCTTTTCTCGAACATTCTTTTAACATCTAGAGAAAGCGTCGTTTCTTCTCCTTTCCTCTCTCTCATTTCCCCTTTAATCGCCTACTTTATTTAATTCGCCAAAAACGATGTGAGCTTTAACAATTTATTATATTTAATGCTTTTATTCCTTGGAGTATTTTTTTAATTGTAAAAAATTATAGCATCAGTCAAGAAAATAAAAATAATCAACAAATAAACATTCCATTTTAATTAATCCGCAAAAATTTTTGCGGATTAATTTTGCGGACAATAATTTTGGATCTTAATTAAATTTCTTTATTTAGCGGATTTATATATAAGGCTTCTCCAATATTATTTTTGAGAAGTAAAATTTTTTGTTTAGCAAAGGAGCGGAAGACTTTTTTCGCTTGATGCCTGAGAATATAAAAAAATTGATGCATACATGCTACCTTTATGGTCTAATTAATACTTTTCATGTCTAATTTAATACTTTTTAACTAGGGTTGCTCGTTTTCGGTTATTAACCGGTACCCTAGGTTTTCGGTTATGGCCGGTTTTCGACCCCCGGTTTTCAGTTTTTGACTTACCCCGATTTTTGGTTAACCGAAACCGGTTTTTGACTAAATTTCTCATCCAGAATATCCCATTCATATTTTATTCAATTAAAATACTTTAACATCTACTCTGTGAATCAGGCGCTGAATAATTTTAAAATTTCAACAATTTGAGGGAGAACGGAACATGTCGGAGAGCGGAACATCTCGGATAGAGCGGAACATGTCGGAATTCCCTTTAAGACTGTACGGGCAGTGAAGGTTTCCTTCACGCCTACCAAATAAAACAAAAAAAGGAAATTGTTTATTGGTATAGGACACTTGAGGGGTTATCTACCTTGTAATGGAGAGCTTCCAGAGCAAGTCCCAACCATTCTGCTATTTTCTGGGATCAAGTTAGGCTGCTTTTCTCTCCCCCAAATTTGTATTAGTCAAATAGGGTTGTTCCCCGACTGTAAAGAGGGCCGCGGGGAAAAAATTCCCCGACTTTCGGAGACGGGAACAACCCTTTAGTCAAATAGCTTAACGAAAAAAAATTTAAAAATTAAAAAAAAAAAGAATTTTTCGATTAATAATAAGCTTCGTTACTAAATTATATTTTTCCTCATTTTACATATTTTCCTTAGCAAAATAACTGCACAAATAAAAATAAAATTATTTTTGTTTACCCATTCTAAATTTTGTCTTTATTTTAAAAAACTGTCCAATATTGTTAACTAAATTCTTATCTTTTATTTAAAAATGTTTCCTTATTTTATGGCCCATAAATTTTATTCTTATGATGAAAACGAATGATGCTATTCTTTAGAGTCAGCAAAAATTTTGTCCGCAAAAATTGTCCGCAAATTTTTTGCGGACAATTTTTTTTTTCTTTTAAGTCAGTCACAAAAATAGAAATTAAAAAAATTTACATCTCTTTATTATCTTATTTTTTAATACTTTATTCATTTTATTAATTCTATTTAATAATTTTTTTACCTTTTTTGCATATTTTTTGATTAAATACGCACAGAGAATCCCCACAAAAACCATGCCTTTTAGGCGCAGTAACATTTGGGCGAGCATTCATAAAATTGTCAAATTAAGAGTTAGAGTCGTGAAATTTTGTAGAAATGTTAATAATACTCTTAGCTAACTTGACTAAAAATTTCAGAATTTTCTGGTGAAAATTAGTAGAATTATGAGCGAAAATGCCAAAATTTTGCAAAAAAATGCCAAATTTTCATGGGTTTTCGGTTATAACTTTTGAAATACCGAACCAAAAATTCTGAAATTTTTATTCAAGTCAGGTAACTCTATTACAAAGTTTTTCCCAAAATTTTACTTCTCTACATGCTCATCTGACTATTTTATTAACGAAGTAAACGGAAATGCCAAAATTTCTAGCAAAAATGCCTTTTTTCATGTTTTTTGCGGGTTTTCGTCCCTAACGTTAGAAATACTGTACCAAAAATTCTGAGATTTTCAAACCTGTTGGGTAACTCTATTACAAAGTTTTTCCCAAAATTTTACTTCTCTACGTGTTCATCTGACTATTTTATAAATTCCCGCCCAACCCTTACCAACGCCCCTAAAACCCTCTTTACCAACCACTTTTAACCCTATCAAAAATAATAAATTTTCTTTTTTTCATTTTGTTATCGATAACGTGTCGTATATTTACCATTCTTTGTGGTCCTTAAACTCTTTTTTCTCTTTTCTTTTTTTTTACTTTTTATTTGGGACGAATTGTCAATCAGTCAGATGGTCGGGGATTTTTTTCCCTTAAACACCCGTAATAAATAGGAGGGCAAACACACGCCTTCCATTCATTCTCTCCCTTTCTTCTCTTCATTTTCTCTTTTATTATAAAATTTTTTGGCCATTGCAAAGTTGTTTGTGAATTACTTAAACCTCTTTATTTTACGAGAATTTTATTAAATAATAAATTTTGTTGTTGATAAAATTATTTTTTTAAAATTTTTCTTTATCTTTTTTCTTAAAGTGTTTATTACAAAATATAGAGGAATATTTATTTTGTTTTTGATTAATTTGTTAATATTTTTGTTTTAAAATTGTTTTCGAAATAATTTTTTTAAAAAGTCGTCTTAATTAAGTCCGCCCTCCTCTCTCATTCTCTCTCCTATGTATTCGACTTTTTAATCTTCACTCTGAATCATGTAAATGTGTCTTCCGTGTTAATTGACCTCTCTTGTTCATTTCTTGTTTGACGTTTCAATTTTCAGCTTATATGTATGTATTACTTGATATTTTTATTTTTTAAATACCTAAGCAAGGCATATGAAGTTTCCTCCTCTCAGCCTATCAAACAAAACAAAAACGAATTCATTCCTTTTGTCGTGGAAAGCCGGGCTAATAATAACCCTGACTCGGGAACTTTGAGAATCTTTGTACCTCTTGAGTTCTGTCAAACATGGCATAAGTCAAACTGTCGCGTAAAAATTTGGAGAGTACTAATTGTCTCTCCATAAAAAAATAATCAACGCAATTATACTTCTTCAAATCATAGTTAAAATTAAATAAACTTATATAAAATTATTATTGTATTTTTATATATTAAGTAAATCCCCTTTAAATTCCAACCTTGTTTCTCTTAACAGCCTTAAACTTTCTTTTTAAATTTAATTTTCTTTCCAGAATTCGATAAACTATTTAATTACTGCCAAAATCAAACTACTAACAAATACTTCAATTAACTGATTAACACAAAAATGTGTCGTTTTCAATGTAGCGATCCAAAAACTTGTAAAGTACCTAAATATGCTTTAGGATCACTCAAACAACAATTATTAACTTCAACTACAACAGATTCATTTAATCAGAATTGCCCTCCTTCCCCTCCTAAATTTGTGCGGAATCGGAGTGTTTCATGTAAGGGAGCTTTTTTGAATTTTAAAATTGTCCTAAGTTAAACCTCCGCCACAGATACACTAACTTGGTGACTAAAAAAATATCTTTATTGAGGTTATCTTAGAATGAGGTGTCGTTATGATAGTTCCCTCACCAAGTGGCCAACTAAATTTTAAAAATATCTTTTGTCTAGGAGTTGATTCCCTTTCATTTTCCAATCGGTTTGGTCCTACTTCTACAATTCCCCACTTGGGTACAATGCCACTCTTGGCTCTTATAATTGGAGTCTGATTTAGTCTGATAATTTTCAATGTCCAATAGAAGCCTTGAACACTATTAATTCTCAACCTAATTCCTAAATATCGCAAGCTCGTATCCCAAAGCGTATCATTTTGTATGGTATGTGATCAAATGCCTTCCCTTTAGTTTTACTTTATAGGGAGAGTCTTATGATTCGAAGATTCGTATTTTAAAAAATATTTTTCAGTTTTTTCTGGCTCCTCAGATTCAGAATATTCTAGTAGTGATGATGAATGCTTCCCCTTCGAACAAAATATTCGGCAAAAGCAACGTTTCTCTCCCTTAAATACACCAGAATGTCTTTCAACAGACAATTTAACAATACCTGAAATTACAACGATGACCTCAAATGAATCTTCTGTTGATTCTGGTTTTGTTGAAGAGGAGAAAACTTCAAAAAAGGTGAATAAATTGAATAAAGATGGGAATTTTAAGAGAAAGTTGTTGTTTGCTTGAGCTAACATATTTCGGTCAAATAAGCACCTAAAATTCTGAAATTTTGCACAGAACACGTTTATTATATTTTACAACAGTTCTAAAAATTTCAGAATTTTTTATTAATTTCTGATTGAGTTCTGGTCGAAAATATACGTCAAACTGTCAAAAAACGTTGAGTTGTAGTTACCTTTTCGACCATAACTTGGGAAATAATGAACTAAAAATTCTGAAATTTTTAGAGGGGTTAGAAAATGCATTGCAGAACAGCTTCACAAAATTTCAGATTTCTAACTTCACTAAAAAAATTTTTTATAAATAAATAATTAACGTTGGTTCATGGATACAATGCCTACAAATTAATTAGAAAAATAAACTTTTTTTTAATTTAATAAATTTAGGCAGCAATCGAAACCAAAGAAGAAGAAGCTAAAGAAGATGTTAAGCCCCAAATAAAGTCAATTTTGCTCAAACAAAGATTTATAGTCGAAGAAAAACCAAAAAAGAAAGTCAAATTTGCCGATGATTGCGGCCAGTTTTTGTGTAAAGTTCGGTGTATTCCCGCAAGAGAAAAAATTGATATTTTGTGGAATGATGTTGTTGATTTAAGGGAGACGAGTAGGGCCGATAATGGTAAAATTTTAAATTTGAAAAAGATTTTATAAAAATTTTTTCTTTAGATTCTACGAGTTGGAGGGATGTTCTATTGTTTAAATTAATTATGACTGCAGGCTTTAGGCAAGCTTTCTTTTTTGGAAATTAGTTATATTTGGCTGTCGAGGGTAATTCCAAAAAACCTTTTGGCCCATAAGACCTCTAATTTTTAAGAGAATATCAGAAGAGAATATCAAGGGATTTGGAAGGAATAAGGGGATATCGAGGGATTTAGTTTTTAAAGGGGATATGGATCTCTATCAACCCAGAGTTTAGGTACACACTAAAAATATGGCACCATTGGTTCTAAAATACATACTGGGTACATATCTTCGCAAAGCTGGGTATTTATCCTCCTTAATCCCTCGATATTCGCTTTAAGGTTTAGGGAGTCTTTTGGATTCAGGTCTTTTGGGGTTGACTCGGCTGTCGTTATCTTCAGCCTTACTTGAGTATTTCCTTCTCTTTTTTTAATCAAATAAAATTTTCCCCTCTTTTTTCGATGGGAGAGGGGATTATTTTTCCATATTGATAAATTTATTATTTTCAAGGACGTTCCCAAAATTTTTCGAAATTTTTGTCAACGAAAACGGGTGTCTTCCTCGATTTCCCCCAATCTCTTTCTTGGTGCTTACTTTCCCTTCTCGTCTTCCTAAATTTATGTTAAACCCCCTATCTACTTTGTTAATTCCCCCAACCAACCCCTCAATTCTTTTTTTCTCTAAAATTTTTAAACGACCAAAGAATTAGTTAATATTCGGTGATTAAATTTATTATATTAGTTTTGATAACACAAATAAAAAACGTTTCTTCTAGTAATAAATGTCATTTTCAATAATTGAAAAAAATTTAGAGGGAAAATAGTAAAATAGAAATGACATTAAAAAGGTTCTTTTTCGATGAGGGACGATCGGTATCGAGTTAACGAAAAAAATAACCTCTGACGTGTTCACTTTGAACTAAAACATAAAAGGCTCTTTTCTTCAATAGGAAAATGTCTTTGGTCTGTGTAAAATTTTAGAGAAGAAGAAGATTCAAGACCCGATGGCCATAGGTCCTTAAACCAATCTAGTAGCTGTTCTTAGTACATTAACAGTTAATCAGTTATGTCCTCTGATATTTCAGCTCCTATATTTTCACCTTTTCTATCAAAAAAATTTTTTTAATAAAATAAAAATTTAATTTATTTCAGTGTTGGAACTCCATTAAATTCCTCTACAACAACCTCTAATAATAATATTTGTGTTGGCGGGACAACCAACAAACCGGTTAACAACGGATTAGGATTTGCCTAAAAATAGAAGGAAATAAAGCAGCTGGGAAGCACTTTTAGAGAGCCATTTAACACACAAACACATTTCCAGATTTTTTCTTTTGATTTTTTTAAAATTTTTAATAATTAATTTAATTTTTTAATTCTTTTCCCTATGGATAAGGCTATAAAATTCTCAAAAATTGAAAAAAAATTTTTTAGTAATTTTTTTCCCTCTAAAAATGTTTAAAAATAAATTACGTACACTCTACTTATTTTTTAAAAAATTTTACACAATAGTTAAAAATTTATTTAATTGAAATTTACCTAAAATAGCGCCTATTCCCCCTTCAATTTTTAATATTGCAAAAACATTTTATAATTTTTGACTTTTCTATAAATAAACTTGGCTTGTTTAAATATGCCTATTTTAAAGCTTTTATAGGCTTCAGTTAATATTATTATTTAAATCAGGGATGTCACGGGTTGAGAAAAATGTCGGGTCGGGTTTCGGGTCGGGTTTCCAAAATTTTCTTCGGATCGGGTTTCGGGTTGAGCAAAAAGTCGGATCGGGTTTCGGATCGGGTTTTCAAAATTTTCTTCGGATCGGGTTTCGGGTTTCGGGTCGAAAAAAAGCCAAAATTTTGAGAATTTTGGAAGGCCAAAAAGCCAAAAATCTTCCCTTCTCAGCGCCGCAGGCGAAAATTTTGAGAATTCTTGAAGGTCCTAAGCCAGATTTCTTCTTTTTTCAGCGCCGCAGGCGAAAATTTTCAGAATTTTGGAAGATCATTAAGCTAAAAATCTTCCCTTTTTCTGCGACGCGGGCGAAAATTTTGAGAAAACTCGGGTCGGGTTTCGGGTCGGGTTTTGAAAAATAAAAATTCTCGGGTCGGGTTTCGGGTCGGGTTTTAGAAAATTTCTCGGATCGGGTTTCGGGTATCGGGTCGAAAAAAAGGCCGGGTTTCGGGTTTCGGGTATCGGGTTTCGGGTAACCCGTGACATCCCTGATTTAAATGTTGCTATAAAAGCGTTAAAATATGCTTGTTTAATAGAAAATGTTTTAATTGTTTGAAAACAAGTTTATTTAATTCAGTACATGTTTTATTTGACTAAAACATGTTTAATTAAATAAAACATGTTTTGTAAAAATAAATCAAGTTTATTTTTCATAAAACAAGTTTATTTATTACAAAAACATGTTTTTAGCGACTAAAACAAGTTTTATTGACTAAAACTTGTTTAGTTAACTAAAACTTGTTTAATGATCTAAAACAAGTTTGTTAAATATTAAATCAACCTTATTTAATATTTAAAAAGCCCCTAGTTTCTCTTCTGAACAAGTTTGTTAAAAATATAAATTAACGGTTATTAAAGTTTATTTTTGGAAACAGTTTAACATTAAAGTTTCTGCAACTTTAAATGCTTAATATTAAATATATTATTATTTTTTGTTTTTTAATCTCTTAAAATGAATAATTAACCTCTCCAGCTGTGTGCGTAATTTAATGCCAATTTTCACAGTTTTTTAGTTTTTTTTTTAAGTTTTTTGTTAAAGCTAGAATTTTATATGTTATGTTAACATTTTATTAATCTTATTTACTCTATTTTCTATATTTAATGCAGTTTTTAAATTTAAATATTTTAATATATTATATGTATTGTAATAAATAATTAATTTAAATTGAATAAAGAGATTATGAAAATTTTTTCTAACTTTTTTAAAAATTATTTTATTTGTCAAAAGTATGTTACTTTTTTAGTATCCAACTCCCAAACCCAACTCCGAAGGCGCTAACCCTACTAGAAAATCTCGTATGTGGGTTATAGTAATTTTAAATTATATAATTTTTCTTACATTTTTTTCGTTCAAATTTATTTAAAATTAATTTTTCTTTTTTGCGGGGTTCCTATTTAATCTTTTTTTAATTTTCGTTTTAAATTTATCCCAAAATTTTTTAATATTTTCTACATTTTTTAAATTTTAATAGAATTCTGCAAGAAACTTTTTTTTCAAAATTTAAATTGCCCATTTTAATAAAAATGTGTTGGAAAAATATTAGATTTTAAAAGGAAATCGTCAATTACCTAAATATATAAGAACATAAAAACGTGTTGTGTATTATAGTATCTCTAAAATTTTTCAATTTTCTTTAAAAATTTTAAAAATTTTCTTTTATTCATATTTTCAATTTTTTAACAATTCTTTGCTCAATTTATTTTTGGAAAATTAAAAAAATTTCAAAACTGAACACTTTTTAGGGTTTTCTCTCCGTTTTTTTTGCTGTACTTCTTTTTGTTCTGAAATTTTTGAATTTTATTAGTCTATTTTCTTACTCTGTTGATACTCTTCATTATGTAATTTATACCCTTCGAATAAATTACTCAACAATCTTACGTCAGTATTTTAAATGAAAAAAATAATTTTTAAATTTTAAAAGAATTCTACTTAATATATAATAATTGAATAATTAGTTTACCTAAGTTTTTAAAAGCTGACTTGAATCGTCAAAATTTTGCCTCGGAGTAATATTTTTGGATGGGGAGCCTTTTTGGGTTCTCCAAACTTTTTCGCTAATTATGATTACAAGAGAACATAAATTAATCTATTTACCGTATTTCCTATATTAGAGCCCCACCCTCTGTTAGAGCCCCACCCTTTAATACAGCCCCACTTTGGAGGGTAGTTGAAAAATAGAGCCCCACCCTCAATTAGAGCCCCACCCCTAATACAGCCCCACCTAAAAATATTGGAGGAAAAATAAAAAATATCCCAATAATTTTTAAGATTATTAAGAGTTAAGGAAATAAAGGGCCATGGGGATATAAGGATTAAGGGAAATATGAGGGATTAACTAAGGGGAAAAGGAAGAGATATAGTGGGTATTCCTTTTATCCCCGATAGATATCCCTTATATCACCGATATCCCTCTTCACAAAAAAATCCCTTCATATGCCTACTAATACCTCATTCAAAATATCACTCTTAACCCCGCTAAATCTCTCAATATAAAATTAATCCTCTGATATTCCCCATAATCCCTTAAAATCGCTTGTATACCTATATATGATCCATCAATGTCAAATACAAGTCCCCTAATATTCCCTTTAATCCGTCAAAATCTACAAATATTTTATAATTAATCTTACCCTCATTGAACTATTGCGATTATTTCGTTACTCATTGCTTATAAAATTTTAATTTTTTTGAAAAATTGAAAAATATCGATTGTCTTTCGATATTTTTTGGTTTTATCAACCAACCCCTCCGGCCTATCTCTAGTTGCAATGGATATAATAAATGGGATTCTATCTCAAAAGAGGGTTGAAAAATAGAGCCCCACCCTCAATTAGAGCCCCACCCTTTAATACAGCCCCACCTTGGAGGATAGTTGAAAAATAGAGCCCCATGGGGCTCTAATATAGGAAATACGGTAATATATAAAGATGCGTTATTTATTTCATATAAGCATAATGAAAAAGTAGTAAATATTTCTTCTTGAAGCACCTGTGGATATTTTTGGATGGGAAGTCGGTTAAGGCTTTCCAAATTAATCTTCAGGTTCTCAATGTTCTACTGGTAAATGTTTTCTAATAGCTAAAGTGATATTGCGTTTTTGACCAAAATTCATTAATTATTCTTTAAACTAATTCACTTTTTGTCGGATCGGATAAATTTGAAATAAACGGCCAAGTCAACCGGCCTTGACGTCGTTTCTGAACTGTGAAACCATCAATGGCAACTTGAACGCGGTCCAGGATTGTATGATAGAGATCCCCATTAAATCCGATGCCTCTAGGAATTAATTCCCAGTGTACCAGGGCTGGGCGATTTCGCATTTTCGCGTTTCGCATTTTTC